CGCCAAGAGCTCCCCGGCGACGACAGAGGAAGCAACCCGTCTGCTGTGGCGGGGCGGCTTTTTTCTTTCACAATAAGACCTGGACGATTATCCCTACCTTCGGTAGCTTACGAGTTTACGTCCATCCCTGGTCGGGTACAGTTTCCTTTCGATTTCTCCCTTGTAGCCGTTACCCGAATTCGCGCAAGTGTGTCCACACCCCCCAAAATTGACGAGAAAGATTTTCTCGCGAACAAACACAACCCTTACACACACCTAGGAGCACCCCTTCCTGCATATCCATACAAGACCCGAGTAGGCGGGTCGAGGTCCTACGAGGTACCCACTACTCGGAGTACCCTCCCAAAAGGAAAAATATGTGTCTGTCAGGTTCGGTTCTTCTTAGTTGGGTTGGGCGGGTTCGACCAGAAATGCTATGCTTACACACAAGACTACCCCTCTTCCCGAAAGCTTCGCGGGGACTACTTTAGGACGACGGACGACCGCCCGTAGGGGGTTTACTGCACAAGGCCCCTGCAGAGGAAAAGCTTTATCCCAGCGAATAGAAGATGCTCAGCTCCGCACAACATAGGGATTAGCACACTTTCGGGAAGAACATAGAATAGTAGAAGATCCAGCATGCAGAACACGGCGATCATTAGAAATTCACGAATTAGAGATGCTGTAATATACTCTTTCCCATAACTTCTCATACCAGACCAACCCACTAAAATGCAAATAGGGATCAGAAATGTGGTCAATATCACGAAGAATAAAGAGATACCGTCGATACCCAAATAAAAATTGATGTTTTCATAAGGAAGCCATCGAAGACTTTCCACAAATTGAGATTTGGCCGTAGAAGGATCGAATTGTATCCAAATAACAGGGGGATACAAAAAAGTAATAAGAGAGGCGCACAGACCAATTAATCGTATCGGTCGTATTCTTGAATTTGGAATGAAAAGAGGAGTAATGCTTCCTAGCACGGGACAAAGAATAAGACCACTTAGATCAGAATAGCATTCACAGAAATGTTCTAACATAGAGTAGAATCAAACATTGAAGAGATTCATTGACAACAGTAAAAAGATGGGCGCTTCATTCCTATACAATAGGGGTCTATCAGTGCAAGTCAGCTGAACACCGTGATTTATGAGTGGGTAGGTGGGTTAGGTGCACTTCTCGCCCAGTGGGAAGTAATGAGGCTAGTATCCCCCCCTTAATGAATAAGTAGTGGGGCCCCCTTCCCGCGTATGCGCCTTTATTTATATTCTTTATATTTCCAAGGAAATTTTCATAATAATGAATGCGGAGGATGACGTCTTTCAAAAGACGAGTCAGGGACGGGGAGAGGTACAAAGTGACTCGACTGAAAGGAGAGGTTAGAATAGACTCGACTGAAAGGAGAGGTTAGAATAGACTCGACTGAAAGGAGAGGGAGGCTCTCGAAACCAAATGAGACTAGAAAGAGCATGGGAATTAGCACCATTCATATGAGTGCTTTTGTCTCTTCGAGACAACAAAGGGACAGCCCTCTCTCTATCTCAGTCTCGGTTTAGCATCATAGATCGATCTGGAGAAAATTTTGATTGGTTGTAGCGCGGATTAAGGAGCAGCTCCTCTGGGGGGCTGTCGCCGCCTGATAAAGGCAGAAGCGGGGGCCACCGGAGCTATCTGCGTCGAGTGTTTCGATTGAAAGAGGAAGGCTAAAATGCCAGCAAAAGAGTCGTGCTTCAAAGTGGAATTCTTATAAGATCCATTGCTCGATTTTGCTGCATGCTCTGCATTTCAGTCAAAGAATGAAGCCAACCAAGACTGGGGAAAACAACTGTTCGATAATGAGCCGGTATTTTTTTATATAACCGCTCTCTTACTCTTTATCTTTCTTAGAGGAATGCTCCAAGATTACAAAAAGACGGTAAACGAAGTACAATAAAACACTCGGCGTTCCGATCTCATTCTCATATAGCTGGATTCGCGGTGTGAAAAGAAAACCGGTATTTCCGAACTAGCATTTCTAATAGCTAAGAGTTCGCTGGCGAAGGGCTTAGCAGCATAGTAAATAGGAGTGACTTAAAGCAGTCCGCACAGTCTTATTTTCTCATTTACCTCTCCTACGACCGATCCTACGGTATGGATTGTTTTCCAACAATCTAAGTTTTATTTCGTAGGGAGAATGAAATGGAACGACTAAAGAATGAGTTTCTCATTTTATTTTGCCAAGTTCTTGTAGCGCATTAACTAAGTGACTTACGGAATCTAAAATATGGAGGCTTACTACGGCCTCAGATGATTAGGCGGGGACAGGATTCGAACCTGCAGTCTTCAGGTCATGAGCCTGATGAGTTGACCAATTCCTCTACCCCGCTTCTTATTCTTCCCCTGATCTTTCTTTCTTTTACCTGGCACACTGAACACCAACCCAATCTCGACAAAAAAGAAAGTCAAAGCCCAACTTACCTCCTAAAAGCCCTGAGGTGAAGGGCCGCTTTCTTGGAACTCATTCATAGGCACTTTCCATTAGCTAGACTGAACACACTATATAAAGAAACAAATAGTTGAAGCGGATGAAGGTGATTATTACTTATTATAAAGCCAATCAACGGCGTTCCATACCGCCTTTATAGTACCCTTGAACCAACCTTCGTCTTAGCCTCTTTTGTTCTTACTAAGTATTCCCCTCGTTCCTTTTATCTTGGACATCTCAATGTGCAGAATGAAACCTGGCGAATCTCTTACTCTACCCCCTACCCCTATTATTTATATTAGTTTAGTCATAAAGGTTTGAAGACGCTCGACCAAAGGAGTGGAATGAAATGGAACGACTAAAGAAGTGGAATGAAACGAAAACGACTACAAGCGGGAGAGGAAGGAAAGCCTTTTGACAACCTGACTAGGGGCTAAAGCATGCGAAGAAAGCTCTTCGAGATTCTCTTATATTATATAATATTATAGAAAGGTTTGTAGAAAAGGGCTTATTCAAATATCCCATGAAGTAGGGGCTTCAAAGAAAGCTTGTAGTTTAGGGGTGCGCAGGTTTGGAACCCGGCTAGCGCGCAATGGCTCTTTCTCTGATAGAGGCTCGCTTCTTCAAGTTCCGCTTGCTTCTTTTCATTTTGATAGGAGTAGGCGCCGTTCGCTGTCTACTAAATGAGCCTTCACTGCCCGCCCGGGCCCGGCCCCTATCTTTAATCTTAAGTAAAGTGAAGTCAAATCAATGAAGTGAACAGCCCAACCTCTTTGTTTTATTTTAAGCCTTGCCAGGAAGCTTCTACTTGTTGAAGCTTTGTTTCCCCTAATTCTGAAACACAACAATAGACTTGCCTTGTATAGGAAAAAGCTTCTCTTTGATAAGCGGTCATAGGGGAAATATTGATGAATAAGCTGTACTATCAACAGGTCCTCTTCTTGAATAATATGTTGATGCCGAAGCTGATAACCCGATTGAATCAGCTCTTTTAGGAGGAATTCCCTTTGTTATCGGAATAAGGGTACAAGCTGCTATCGAATAGGCGCTGTTCACACGTCTTGGTGAATAAGCTGTGATCACTCTACGACTTTCTGTTCAGCACGCTAGCTTGGCTTATGGCTTTGCTCCTTTTCTTCTGTTGTCGGCATACCGTTGCCTTTTGCTTGGCACGTTGTCGGAATAGGCTGTGATGCCAGATAGTGAAGTTCGAAGGGCCTTTCTTTATCACCGTAAGTAGCAATAGACTGATCTTAGCCCGAACCTACAGATTGACGCTTTGACGCCAAAGCAACGTCGTTCCGCTGGAGGGCTTACTGGCTGGCGAGCTTAGCTTATTCTGCAACTGGCTGATCGGATGGACTTGAGTTTCACTTACAGACTGACCGCTAGAATGAAAAGAGGCTTGCGGAAAGGAATGCCTTAAAGAAAAGTCCCACTTAATGACCTGCATCGTCTATTCTCGCTCGACCACTTGTGTACGTAAAGTATACGTGTACGTGGCGGGCGGAAAGAGACTCCCTGGTAACTAACTAGGGGGATTCCTGAAATGTAATGTATCTTTTCGGGTAAACACTGTAACCAAGCAAGTAGGCAAAAAGCTCTTCTGGAACACTATCTTATCCCCTAGGTAGTATGAATAAGACCATGATAAAGATTTAGATACGGGAAGGTGAGGGGCCTCAGATAAAGAGATCTTAGGTAGGCCTCATATTGCCGAGATGCGCCAACCTCGGGATGCTTTACTCCTAACCCCACAAGGTTCCGAGACGGAGCTTAACCTGAGTCTCGGTTAAGAACGGCGATGATCTACGTTTCACACGGCGCACGATTCCATGGATAGTTTCATTCGAGATCGTGATGGAGGACACAGCTTACGATCATCGGATTTGATCATGCCACTAGGCATTTGATTAAGACATTGCACAATGATCCGAACACTTTGTCGCATCTCTTCGATACGAATACAGTAACGATCATAGCGATCTCCTCTGGTACCTACTGGTACGTCAGGATCCAATTGGTCATGAACATCGTAAGGTGCTGCTTTTCGCAAATCCCAGCATACCCCTGAACCTCTTAACATTACACCACTGAATCCCCAATCCTTTGCTTGCTGTGCAGTGACAGTACCAATATCCACTAATCGTTGTTTCCAGATACGGTTGCCGGTTGACATCTCTTCTAATTCGTCGATACGAGAAGCAAATTGTTGTGTGAAGGAATCAATATCTCTACATAAGCCAAGAGGAAGATCTTGTGCCACTCCACCTGGTCGTATGAAACTGGCATGCATCCTGGCTCCCGAGACTCTTTCATAGAATTCCAACAATTTCTCCCGCTCCTCAAAAGCCCACAGGAACGGAGTTGATGCTCCCACATCCATAGCATGAGTAGTTAAAGCAAGTGAATGATTTGAAATTCGAGTTATTTCACGGAATAACACTCGTATATATTGAGCTCGTAATGGTACCTCGCAATTCAAAAGTCTCTCTACGGCTGAAGAATGAGCGTGTTCTTGGGCCATCATAGAAACATAGATAGGGTCGACGACGGAACGAACAACGAAACTTTACGACAGCTTTTTCGTACACGTTCACTTGCATCACATACACAAGTGCTCTCTGAACCGTGCAATAAGGTCACCCATAACACGGCTCTCCCACTTGAGTTATCTTAGCCCCAGGCCATGCTATTCAATAATC